GCTTTTTAAGAGAATTGCGGCTCCGGTCCCCAACTTTGTAATGTATTATTTTTATGTCCCTAATTATTAAAATGTGCAATGTGGTCTCCAAAGTAACAAAATAATGAACATGGGCTTCTTAATTAAGGGTAACTCCACAAAATTTGATCGTAAAATGCCATCACATTTCTGAGAAAATTATGGTTCAGAACGTTGGCTAAAAGTGTTGCACTAAGGTCCCTAGCTAAGTCGAACACGTCCTACCTACTCATGTTGTTATTTAACGGTTTAAAATAAGAATTATCAATGAAAGATCTCCGTGTGTACTGTTTTCATTATTTAACACGTGAGGATATAAGCACAATACTTCTAAAAAGGTTGGAAATTGCTAGCAACTTACCTTTTTTTTTTTTTTTTTTTTTTTTTTTTTTTTTTTTTTTTTTTGCAATTTTCCCTTGCTTATTAGACACACAAACTCTTTCCATCGTTAGATCAAAGTGTGTTGCACATGGATCTCACAAGAGTTTAAAAAGTAATTGTTTAGACTAATGTTTACGTCAATGATGAAAAAGTCATCCTTGACTATTTTAATATTTCCGGTAGAGTTAATCACTATAAATGGCCTTGAATTTTACTCCAGATTCCACATCACTCCTCACTTTTAAAACATCATAAGCTCATCTTTAATTAATTTGTTTTAATTTTAGTCCTTCTTATTGGATAACTGTTGACAAGATGAAAAAAAAAAATATACATATATACATATGATATTGAGCAAAAGTAACATTTTGTTAAAGAATATGTACGTGATCTTAATAATAGTAACACTCTATAAATAGAATATCATTTTTATTTCGTCTTTTTTTAACATCTAATTAACGAAGGATTAAATCTAAAACAAATTAATAGCTCGAGGATGTTTTAAAAGTTAACCACCAAAACGAGATTTAAGGTAAAATTCAGAAACGCGTATCATACTTCCAAAAAAAGCTCAAACTATCCTAAACCAAATATGAAGCCGTTATAGGTGTTGGGTAGGTGCAGAAGAAATGGGAATTAGCCGGTATCTTATCTTAGAATGATCCAAATGTGAGATTACATACTAAGCTAACATAAATTAGAAAAACAATTATTGTTAATTGTATACATATATTATTATGCTTTCATTATAAAAAAAAAAAAAAAAAAAAAAAAATTCATGTTTGGTCCATGCATTGCTCTGTACTATGAGGATTTCACATGGGTCCTCCAATCATAGTGCAAAATTGAGGCCTGGAAAGAAAATAAAAATTAATTTTTCTCTCTTTACACTTTGGAGTTTGGTCCCCCTCTTTTGTCCACTCTTTCAGTTGGTGAAGATGATTGGTCAAACACTTAAAATAGGATGGTTGGGCAAGCAATTACCAACCCTCTAATATTAAGAACATGGAGCTGTATGTTCATGCTACAAATAAAGACATAAGCCCCTAATAACAAAAAAAATAAAAAAAAATAATAATAATAATGATAATAATAAATAAATAAATAAATACTAATAAAGACATAAAACCAAAGTATAAATAATTTATTTGAAGGATGTTAAAAGTAGAATTCAATAACCCACAAGATAAATATTTAAAAGAGGACATGTGGGACTCATGAGACAACCACAACAAAGTACTAATAATTCCCATATTTAACAATGCAGATAAAAATAGGACAAAGAAAAATGATGCAAATGATTCTGTTCGAAGGCCAATGCAACCCAACAAAAATTTCAGTTGCCCATGCTGCTTTCTAGAGGCTTCGCTTAGTTCACTTGTCCCCAATCACTTGCTTCTTATTTGTCTTCTACTTGGTGGAAGATGGATAAAAGAAACAAACATGAAAAATATAACTCAATTACATCTATATAAAATACATAGAATATGCATAAAGAAGTTTGGACACTTTTGTCTTTGTTTCAATTTTTTATTTCACAAAAATTGCCCACCATATGTTATTTAAGAGTTTTGGGAGTGTTTTCCATGTACAAATAATCCTAGTTACTTCACTTAACTTTCAATCCCATTGGCTTTAAAACATTCCAAATTTAGCCTTGATTTTTCAGTTTCTTTCAATTCTAACCTTTATGTTAGTTAGGTATTAAAAGATTACAAAATAGGCACGTGATGCTAACAGAGAATAACACATTGCTAACGGAATGCCAAATATCAATTTACTAATTGAATATCATGCATATTCTGTCATAGTTTAACTTTCAACTAGGAAAGGGGTTAAAATTTAAACAAATTGAAACAACAACAACAACAATAAATACAAGCTTTAATCTAAAATTAATTGGGGTCGGTTATGTGGATTTTTCGTTTTTAAACAAATTGAAAGATGGAAGATAAGTTTGTGACATTTTCAAACTTAGATTCAAGTGAAATTTGAGGAACATTCATGAGATTAACTTTAAATTTATTACGTTCAACTCTTAACGGTCAAGCCTGTGGTATATTAATGGTCAGGGACTCCCTACTTTGGTGATAAACAATGGCTAGCCTACACCCCATCAATTGATCAAACCAAATTTGTCTTTGCTTCATGTCATTCACATAATTTTCATACATGGTTGAGTAAAAAATTTCATTTTCTATATTCCGTAAATGATATTATTAGGTCAATCCACAAGTAGTTTATTTATTTATTTATCTTTTTGTTTGTTTGCCTTTTCCCCCATAAATGTGTGGATCAAATTAGAAATCATGGTTGAGAGAGGAAGTATCCAGGAACATGCCTGTGTTCACGCTTTGTACCAATATTAGGCTACATGTACATGTGACAAAACTTTAATTAGTCAAAAGAAGAACATAAAAGTGTAGCCATATCAAAAAGTACATTTAAATACTAACCATATGCACATTCCATGTTGCAAAGACTGATTAAGGTGCACCACTGCAAGTAGGCACAAGAGCTGATATGCGCCTAACTTATGAGGGGAAAAAAAAAACAAATTCTCTAGCTAAACTCCTTTCATTGTTTTCCCCTTTGAAGAGATCCACTAAGATGTTAACACACTACACCCCCTAATGAAAGCAAATTTAGGTCTCGTTTATTTCGCTGATTCGAGTTTTGCTACAGTAAAATGCTCTCACAAATAGTCACATTTAACTTTTTTACTACAGTAAAAAACTCTCACATAAAATCACTTATCAACTCAAATTAGAAACTCGAATTAACAAACTAAACGAGATCTTAGATAGTAGAACCTTTTCTTTTTAAATATCGGTAGGTATTATACTATTTTAAAAGTTGAGTTAAGGTTTTAATAGTCTGATCTGACTTGTAAGTGTCCAAATTAAAAATTTACAGTGTGCGGTAAAAAAGTACTATAAGTATAGATTAAATCCTTGAAAACTTATTTCATTTGTTAAACACTAATACCCATTAATAGTTACAAAGAACATGTCCTACTATAAAAATATCTTTAATAAAAATTAAAATATGAGAGATTCTCTGATACATTTGATTTACTGATAGATTAGGCTTTTTAACTATTGAATTTACGTACTTTTGACTTTTACGTCATTTTATACATATCTGACATATAAAAAACTTGACATACTGATATATTAAAGTACCGGAGAAAGTCTCATAAAATATATGATCTCCCTTATTGTTCAAGAGATCCTTTCATGGACCCAATGCAGTGAAAAAAAAAAAAAAAAACCTAAGTGGTCATGCATAAAGATCCATGGATTAGCCATGTGAGATACAGATATACAAGTTGGTTCTTGATTAATTGTCACAAACAGAATCATGAGAAGACTTGAATAGACTCATAGGTGATCGTGTCCTTCCACTCTTTC